TCTGGCCATCAAAGTTCTCCATTTGCTGCTAATGCTGGTGTGATCTTGCAAAGCCCATTTGTTCCTTGTGTGCCCAGCAGTGTGGAATTTTTAGTCGAACAGGATAGGCGGCAAGTCATTAGGAAGGTCGTACATAATTACGATGCTACCATTTTCGGTCAAAACATGCAGTACGAAAGATACATTAACTGTAGTCTTCTGAACGTTGATTCAATTGCGGTCATCGTGATTCCGCATAGGATCATGGTCATGAAGTCATTTCGGTTGACTTAAGCTCATCCGCGTTCCGGTAATGCATAATCCGCTAGCCTTTTGCTTCTTTTGTCTTCGGAAAAGTGTTGGTGCAGTGCACAATGAACCAGTTTGTGTCTAACAGGATTTGCGGACAGTAAAATAAAGACTTTAATTTTGGTAGTGTTTAGTACTGCGCTGTGTTGGAAGGCCTTAGAAACAGCCTCCACACCTTTATACCTGGTCCGCTTGCGCATCGGTTAATTATGCACACCGCTTGTCAGTCACTTCTTTCTATAATCACTTATCTGTTATAAAAGAAGCGAGAAAGTAGATCCAGAGCGTTAACTTGTTTATTTTAAATGATTAGATCGGTATGGAATTAATGATACAATGTGCCACTTCTTCAGCCCTCAGTTTCGATAAAGTTCAAGGCCCCGCCTCCAACCCCTCTCCCCCACCTGCCCACTGCGCGAGTGTTGTCCCTTCGCATTGACAGAAGTCACAGGAATTGCTACAGATTTTCAAAAAAAGAACTTTCCCTCATTCCTACTAGCTTGTAGTTTTTTGTTTATTAACGCAAATGAGCGAATGGATGCAATGCTCCCCATTTTGCACTAACCCACGTTTCCTTACTTGTTTGGCTGAATGTAACACGGTCGCCTTTATATTCCTGCATAGGCGCTTCAATCTGCTTTATGCAATCTTACCTTTTCTTCAATGTGGCTCTGTTCGATGTGCTGAAAAAACTCGGCAAATGAATATTCAAAAAAGTCAATAAATCCGAAAATTAGTAAAATCGATTAATTTTTGAACGCAAAATCATACCACTTGGGTTCGCACGACCAGAAGGACGTCGCCCTTTTAGGTATTTTGGGTAATACATTGAAGCAAAGCAATGGTATGGGATTTCTTAATCTGTTTATGATTTTCCTTACCTCCTACGACATTACTCTAGTAGATGATTTGGTTCCCTCCAGCGTGAAATCATCAGTATCCACATTGGTCAAGGTGGTGTTCAGACAGGCAACGCTTGCTGGGAACTCTATTGCCTGGAGCATGGAATTCAGCCTGACGGTCAGATGCCAAGCGAAAAGACTATCGGATGTGGCGATGACTCATTCTCAACATTTTTCCTTGAAACTGGTGCCGGAAAACACGTTCCTAGAACCGTAATGATGGATCTAGAACCCACTGTAATAGGTAGTTTGCTTGGCCTCTACTTGCAACCATCATGTTAACCTAACAATGTGAAAATGATAACTGTACGATTTTAAACCTAGACGAAGTACGAACCGGCACCTATCGTCAGCTATTTCATCCGGATCAGCTCATTACAGGAAAGGAGGATGCTGCTAATAATTATGCTCGTGGTCACTACACTGTGGGAAAAGAGATTGTTGATTTGGTTCTAGACAGGTTGCGAAAATTGGCCGATCAGTGCACAGGAATTCAGGGCTTTATTATTTTCCACTCCTATGGTGGAGGCACAGGCTCCGGATTCACATCTCTA